ATCAGCTATGCACTGACATGGCAGTGGAGCACATGGACCTACTGTTTCACACAGAGGTGCACTGGCTCTCCAAAGGCAGAGTCCTTACCAGATTTTATGAACGGAGAAATGACCTCCTTCAATTCACTAACACAACATGTAACAGAAACAACAATTCATTCAATCATAACCAGTGAATGCAACAAATGTTTTAATAATTTCTTCGTTGTATTTTAAATAGTGATGTTGTTACATTTTAAGCATTTTGTTTATATTTATAATCCATTTTAAACATTTTATAATTCACCAAAATTATAAAAAAGCATATTTTTCCAAACTGAGTGTTGTAGTACAATCAGCAGATGGTCATTAATTTTTAATTAATGTGTGAAATGACACTACAGTATATGAGTGAAGTTAGTGAATCTTTTTCCCAATCAAAATTCCCCCAAATTATGAAAAAGCATATTTTTCCTAACTAAGGGTTGAAGTATAACTAGCAGATGGCCTTTGATTTGTGAAGTCATTTTGGTAACACTACACTGGATAAGAGTAGCTATTGAATATTTATGTAGCAGGCCTCTGTCTTTTCATTGTTGAACTTTGTAGACGGTCCCTGTGCACTTGTCTCACAGCTGGCTACACATTGAGACCAATGTTATTTGTCTGGAGCAGAGGACGGCTCGTTTTGATAAAAAATAGCTTGTAGCTTGTTGTCTATTAAACAAAAGAGGCGTTGTTTGTATTTTAGCAATGTTTTGCTATTGAACTGGAAATGTCCGACCTGTGAATCTTTTCAACTTTACTGAAATCAGCTGCTATAACATACTGTTGTCAGCACACTGACCAACAGCTATCACCTCCTCTGTCTCATTTGCATGTACATGAGCTTTTGATCACCCATTCCTTTTCAGATAGTCAGGCACATCAGAATGATGATATGACTTCACTCCAAAGATAATGTGCACAGGCTTGCTCAAATGTTGGTTAGGGACATTTCTGCCCTCCTAAAATATTGGTAGGGACATGTCCCTACCATCCATATGCAAAACTACAGCCTTAGTTCAATTAAACTGATTTATGACTACATATCACCCCTCACCCTCTGCACCCCCCCAAGGTGTAGGAGTTAAACACAAGGATGTAATGTAATGAGTCATCAGGAGATGTGGCCAACAGCACACACTTTAAGGGCCCTGACACAGACGTCACAGGGAAGCTGAGCATCTTTCTGTCATTGCTGTGGTGCTCCTGCACTTTCCTGAGATCACTTGGCAAACATACAATGTGGACAGCACTGTGATGTTGTTTTTCTTGGATTGTTTATGACTTCTGAGTTGCTGTAGATATTGAGTAGTGGGGCTCACTGAACAACATATATTTATTCTAGACATAGCCACTGCTTCCACAAACATAAATTATATTACTTCTTATAAGTCAAGGCTTCTTCTTCTCTGGAAAGTTGTCTGACACCAGAGTCACTGACATTTTTGTTTGTTTGGAAGTCTAACTTTTTGTACTTGTGCCTGTTTGGTTATTTTATGGCTCCAAACAATCCTGCTTGCACCAAGTTGCTTTCAGTGGCACAGCTGTGGTTGTATTTATGTCCACCAGATAGTGTAGTGTCATTTGCTTTATGAAATTGCACCTCTTATCACAAGCACAAGGACAAAAAAGTATTCTTTATGCTTTTGACTGAGTCATGCACACAAAGCTCACATAAACAGTTTCACATATGTTAGATTTAGCCACCTTCAGTTTGATACGGACTCAGAACAACTTCAACTACACATTGGAGTTATAATAATAATAATGTTTATAACAGTAAAGCCTGGTGAGTTCTGAGTTTTGGTGATTTATTTGACCTCTGACATGAATGTTTAGGAGTGGACTTTGAGGACCGAACTTTAACTTGATACTCGGTAACTTTATATATGGGCTACACATCTTTTAAGCATTTCTGTAATGCTGTAGATAACCATTTTATTTGTCAGTAATATAAGACTACACCTTAACTATGACATCTATACATATAGTACATCATATCCTGCAGTTGTATGTTACGTGCTGCTAACTGAGCCATACATATAGCTGATGACATCACTTAAAAAAATAAAGTGTGAAATATAAATTGCTGCAGGCTGATAATGAAATGTGAGCTGAATTTGACCTTGACAGCTCATTATTTTAAAGACTTCAAGACTTAAATTGATTACATGTGTTTAAATTAGCTTTAGATTTACTGTAAATGTAATTTCAATGTGACAATTTTTAAATGTGTTGCCACAGAAGAGGTGTGTGCGAACCAGCTTTACTCAGCGACCCAGTAGGGGTCCGTTCCATCCTTATTTACTTGAGCAAAAAGGGAAACATTTCATATGGTACAGAAACTCGGTGCTAGGCTTGTTCTTGAACAGCTGAATGTGATCATAATCATTAACAGCTTAGCCATTCTTACAGCCTTTAATAGATGCTGAACAAATGCTTTAAAAGCACATTTTGCCATCTAAATTGATTAATTCCACCTAATTGCTGCTTGCCTGCCAGCTATGTAATCTCATTAAATTGGACCTGTACAGCAAAATTACAAGGTTTGATTGTTCACAGTACTGTAACAGTAGCATGAAAAACAGATTAAGTCAATACATGTTGTACAAGCCCCAGTTTTGGACTGTGAGCTTTCTGTCTCCGTCTTAGTGTTCCAACAACTTAATGACATGAAAGTTTCACACAGACGTAATGTGACCTTTTACAATGTGTGGTTGGAGAGCAGAACACATTCGTTCTGAAGCCTGTTGCTGTGTCCAGGAATGCTCTCCATGTTGCTGTCTGTTGGCCTCATCATAACAGGTGAAATAAAATATGGGTCACAGTTGCTGACATTTTAAGAAATATGCTTTCAGCTTTGTTGTTGAGTTAGATGAGAAGGTCAGTACCACTCTAATGTCTGTATTCTGAAGCTACAGCCAGCAGACGACTAGGTTAGCGAAGCATAAAGACTAAAAGCAGCAGTAACTATTGTTTTATGGGGAGTTGTTTTGGTGCTCGAATCATTTCTTTATCATACCAGTGTCTTTCTGGAGTACCCGATAGTTCTCTGGTAAGCTTTTGGTGATGGCATGATCAGCTCCACTATTTTAATATGTTGATTAGTGAGCTTTAAAGTAATGGTAGGTGGTAGCTAACTGTTTAGCTGTGCTTACTACCTACAGTATGTCTTGCAAAGCCAAGCTAAACTAGTTGGTCCTGGGCTATGTCCTCACATCTGCAATATGGATCAAAGGGAGGTACTGTATTTTCCTGTCTAATTTGTGGCAAAATACTAGATAAGTGTGCTTCCCAAAATAGCAAACCGTTCCACTGAGGACTTTTTGTCCACAATGGCATAAAAGTTCAGAGTGTAAGTAGAATGTACTTTGAGTCTCAAATAAACCCTGTGCTAAAACAACGCATGGAAAGCAGTTTTACCACCTAATTGAAGTCTACTGCCAGCGAGCTATGTTATCTTGTTAACATGTACCCCGGGAGTAAAATTACATGAGTTAATTGCTCAAAACATTGTAAACAGTAGCTACAGACTTCAAAACTTCCCATTGCACTACAGTATAAAAACCATCCTTGTTTACATTTCTGTCTAAACAAACAGATAACATGTTTCAGGTACACTTTACAATATGGTACATAAATGTGTGTAGTTGCTGGGGAATGAGTGAGGAACACATGAGGAATGATCGGCATTGTTACTTTTGAATGTTGGTACTTATGAACGACACCGATCGTTCCTCGTTACATTAATCATTACTTGTGTTTCTCACTCGTTCCCCAGTTACTATACACATTTTTGTGTAATGTATTGTAAAGTTTCACCATAGCCTTTTCTGACCTTTTATAGTGTAATTTTGTATGATTCAGCACACATTGCTTGTAAGTTCTTGACATAAACCAGACCATGAATGCATTAAAGAGAACTGGACAGGCCCTATTCATTGCGATGAAAGTTGCTCACTAGCTGATTTCACATAAAAAGCCTGTCTGTTTTCATTCCTAGGACATCATCGAGTACCTTTTGTACAGGGTACAGGGTTTTTAATAGTGGACACTCAAAGCAACTGCTTTGGTTGTGATGCAGTACATATGAAGGGAGAAGGAAAAAGGCGTTCAAGTCCAGAGTGAACATTGTGCTTTTTATTGATAAGTGTTTTAGCCCAAACAACTATCTTTTCCTAAACCTTCAGTGCCTAAACATATCCACACAAGGTTTGTGCATAGAGCCAACCCCTTTACTGAGGAATCTTTGGTGTCTCATACTGACTTGTAAGGGTACCTTTGGTGTCAGCATGAGAGCCAGCGGGTACTTGACCAAGCCCCTGGGATGACGACACTTTTAAAAAGCGGGCTTCCTAACCCTTTAGGGCCCAGCTTGCTCGCTGGAGTCCTTCTCAGGCTGTTGTCACAATTTGTGTGAAACCTGTAATGAAACAAACAAACTCACTGCAGTCAGGTTAAGCAAAATTTTGCAAAATGTCATTTAAACTGCCTTCTCTCAAAAGCTGTCAATCTGATCTGATAAGATAGTGGCTTTTCTTGTTTCTGACATCTGAGCTATCTGCTGTATTTATGTGAAAACAGATTTGAGCTGTCTGTCACATCTCATTTGATGGCCTCGATTCTGTTCCAGATGCGTTCTCACATTCCTAAGAGGGAAATTCTCAGGGAAACATTGAATCCTTGTCATACTTTCTCAAGTTGGAAAATTCTGTCTGACAGCAGTTTGATTCCCAAAAATAGAAGTGAAGCTGTAGCTGAAACACAAGAAAAAGCTCAAGTGCTCGATTGTATGTGTACATACACAGGAAGGGTCTGAACACGCACACACACACACACACAGCAGAGCACACAGACACACAGTGACAAGTTACAATAGATGTTTAGGAGACACCTGCTCGCCTCATGCACCCTCCTCCTTTTCTTCATCCTCCCTCCCTCTCCTCCATTAGGATTCAGTTCAGGGCTCAGCTCCGTCTCTGTGAGTAGGTTAGCCATGCGTATCATGGTGAAATCCAGTGAATGATAATGAACTAAGCAACTGTGTGTGTGTGTGTGTGTGTGTGTGTGAGGGAGGAGGGGAGGCAGTGGCACGCTTGCTGAATCACTCCCACTGTCCATCCTTCCATCCACCTATCTGTCTATTCACCCATCTATTCCTCCTCCACCTACTCGTTGGTGGTGTGTTGGCTAGAAGGACAGCCCCCATGCTCTGACACACTCACACACGTAGACACTCACCTCCGCGATGTGTCACTACCCATTCCACCTGCCTCTTCCCGTCATTCGCTCGCTGTTCCATCTACCTACACTTGTTCTTTTCAGTCCCTCCATCCCTCAGCTTCTCCTTTTTATGTTCTCTCTGAGTCTTTCTCTTCACCCCTCCTCACCCTCAGCCCCCCCTACGCTGTGTGTCACCGCTGCCGGGAAGAAAGAAAAATGCTCTGCCCAACAAGAGTGAGAAGAGAAAGGAGAAAAGAGTCAAAGAGAAGAAGATAGTGAAAGCCGGAGTTCATTTGGAGCGCAGTGATGCCTCCATTCACCATGAGCCAGACTTGATGGAATATCCCGGACGGTGCAGGCAGAAGGAGGAAGAAGAAGTAGAAGAGAAGGACTGAAGAATAACAGGACTGAGAAGGCAGGACGGCTTGGCGCTTGCCTCAGGAGGGTACGGCAACACAAAAAAGAACAAGCAAACATATACATATGCTCTTGCCAGTCACTTCTCTTAGCAGCTAAGGCTCGTCTGTCCCTTACGGCATTTTTAATTTTGGTTTTGATCTCCCTCTCTCTTGCTCTCTCCAGCACACTCTATAGCTCGCTCGCTGTCTCTACTGAGTTGTGTCCACAGGCTCTGCTTGGGACTTTGACTAATTGTGAAACAATTCTCTGGACTTGAGCAGAGAAAAGACTTTCTCTGCATTCTATTTCTTTTTCGTTCTAATTAATTCCCCCCTGTGCAGACCCTCAAAGAGCCTCTCTCTCACTCTCTCTCTCTCTCCAACTCTGTCCCTCTCTCTACCTAACTCTCTGTTTTTCCCCTCTCTCCATCTGTCTGCCTTTGAGAAGCAAATAATTGGATGTGGAGATTGGCTTCTCTGTGGCTGAACCAGTGGATTGAGGCTGCATGGCACTTCGCATAAACACACACACACAAACACACAATTCACCTGAAGCTCCGAGTGTCTGTGGTTGTGAGTATGTGTGAATGTGAGTGCTGGTGTGAGCTAGACACATCAAAACTCTTCATTTTATTTAATCATTTGGTTGGGTCTTTAACGGGTAAGGCTGGTATTATTCTATACGTTTTTGTATTCTCAACAGCTGTTGTGTAAAGACCAAAACCCACAAGATGTTAGTGCATCTCTCACTTCTTTTTCAACTTTTCAGCTCTGTCTGAGGCTTTCTAAACCCAAGACAAACACATACATCTCTACATATGTATTTTTATTTTTAACAAAGGTGACATCATTTCTTAACACAGCCGGCCACTGCAGTTTTTAGCAAACATTACTCAAACTGGAGTAAATAGTGTATCTATTGCAGATAGAAAACACATTTGATTCTCTGCTGAGTTTTTGCAAGTGTTTGTGGAAATGACTCAAAACAAAAGAACCTGTCATTTATACATTTAATAGTTTTTGGACAAAGGAACGTGAAGGAGAAGGTATCTCATTGTTGGTTTTAGTCTCCCTGTCTTCTTGCTTGCTTCAATTTACAAATCCAAAAAAATTCTCAAAACAAGATAATTTCTATGGGAAGCATGCTGAAATATGCTGACCGTACTAGCAGTGAGAAGAAGGGAAAGTAAGGAGAAACTGAGGTAACGAGAGAGAGAGATTTTGGTAGCTCAAGTGGCCAAGAGACCTTTGAAGAGATTGGCAGAGGTATTTCCCTGAAGAGAGAGAGAGGAGGCTTGAGGAGCTTATGAGACAAGAAGACACGAGATGCGCTGTAATGCTGGTGAGCTATTGGCTAGCTGGAGGACAGACACGAGCCACTCTCGCTAGTGTGAGGCAGGATGCCAAGTCTTCAGGGACGAACAGGAGACCCTTCAGAGCTTTCACACCCTCAACACACATACAGCAGAGAGCTAGCTTAACACATTTTACACACTCAAAGACACACATACACACTGTAACCACAAAAGGAACAAGAGGGACACGACTTCAATGGGACCTTATTCACATTTTTTCTTTTTCAGCCACTTCTACTTTTTTCTTCTGCTGTGTTTCATTATTCACCCACTCTCTTTCTCTCCCTCTCTCTCTCTCTCTCCTCTTCACCTTCCCGCCCAACCACACATCTCCCTCCTCCCTCTTTCCTCCTCCTCATTCTCCTCCTCCTACTCCCGCTACTTAGCTCCATCCAGACCAGTCTCATTGTCCTCACACACACCTCGCCGCGGAACGTGTGCGCGCAAGTGCGTGCATGTGTCTGTGTGAGGACGGGGGTGCAGCCACTCATTTCTACATCACAGTGCAGCAGAGCGCCAGGTTCCACTCTGAGGTGAGTGTGTGTCGCCTCCTTCTCTGATAAACACTTTTCACTTTATTAAATTTCTTTTACAGTTTTAAAAGTGTGTGAATGCAGTTTTATTTCCATTGTAGAGGCAGTGGGGATGGAGTGGAGCGTGTGAATTTCTGTGTGTGTTGTTTTGAGGTAACAGGGGTCAAAGGTGCTGGCGGTGACATTTGGATGGCTGTAGGATTGGATATGGAGCTGAAATTGTGGTTCAGGCTCCTCCAGGCTGCTGCTGTGATTGTGAGGGAGTGTGTGAGTGTGTTTTGATCTGTGTGTACGAGTATGTGTGTGAAGCCAGAGGGTGAGCTTGGCTCAGTTGGTACGTGCTCTGCTTACAAATTACTGACCACGGCATGAGCCTTACTTGCCACTGGTTCACACTGAGCCTCCAAGCACTCCCTCCTTTGGCGTTTTGCTCTTTTCTATCCATCATTTTCTTTTTCTATCTCCCTCGTTTCTCAGTCTGAATGATTTCAGTTCAGTGGCTTACTGTAACTGGCATGCCTGCTGATAGCAAACCAAAGCTCTGTACTAAATGCAAATTCTCAAACAACCAGCCAATAGTTGACATGTTCAATTTATCTCTTCTTCTTTCACTTTCTTTCATTCTTCTTCACTCTAGTACACACACACAGATATATGCACATTCCATGACAAATTTAAATATTTCCCGGTGGGGTTGGAGGGTGAACAGAAATAGATCTAATTCTAAATCAGGACAGCAAGCTCAGCTCAGGCAGCCTCAGCACCCTCCCTCCCTCCCTCTCTCCCGCTCTCCCGTCACAGCCAGCAGCTACAACACTTGCACTCCATAAAAAAAAAAAAGTTCAAAGATTTGCTGCAAATTTACCAGTGGTATTAAATTTAGTGAATATGCTGCGACAGTGTGAAATAGCTAAGCTGAAAAGCTGCCAAGTCCCACACACTTCAGCCCTGCTGCTGGACATAGGAGGCGTGAAGACAAAAGGGCGTCTCAGTTTCAGAAATTTCGAAAGCAGCTTTAGGGAAGGAGGTGTTTTGTTTTTTTTTAATTTGTTTTGCACTATACAAAATCATAATGAACACAAGATGTAAAAATGTCTCATTTACCTTGTAAAAGCTTGACTTTCTGCAGATTTCAGAGACTTTATGTTGTGTGCTGTAGATTTGTCTGTTCCAAGACTGGAGTTAAGATAGAGCTCTGGAGTTGGTGAGTTTCTCGCTGCCTGTCTATCTACCTACCTGTCTGTTTGACTCCTTAGCAGAGATAGGATAGCTCACAGCCCGCCAGCTGCCTCTAGCGGTCCTGCTGAGGGAGTGAAGGATGGAGACGTGGAATGGGGGTAAAAGAGGATGCAGAGGAGCAGGTTGCAGGAGTGTGTGTGTGGTTGTGTTTGTGTTCATATGTCAGTGTGTTACTTTGTGGTGGCAGTGTGAGAGATAAAGCAGGATGAGGGTGAAGGGGTGGGAGTAGGATAAGATGTGCTGAAGGCTGGATAAGCAGCACCTGGTGGGAGAGAGAAAATAGAAGATAAGGACACACAAAGAGAGCGACGTGGGGCTGTGAGGTGGGGGCTGTAGAAGTGGGTGAAGCCTCTCATATCTACCTACAGTCAGGACGGACGTCACGTCAAGACCCACTCATACTCTACCCCCCTCCGTCTTCCTCACTAGCCACTCTCTTCATCTCTACTCCCCTCTTTTTTTGACAATGAGTCGACAGCAAAGAACAAAAGAAGACATAATACATGCAAACCCTCCTCTCTCTGCAGTCAGGAAGGAGAGGAGGAGAAGGAGGAGGAGGAGATGGGAAAGAGAGAGGGATGCGTAAGGCTAAACGTGTAATGGCAATTGCGGTAATGTAAAAGATAGAAATAAAAATACGCTGCAGTAGTCAAACTGGTGTACTTTTGTAAGGATAACGAATGAGTAAACACTGGGATGCAGAATGTCATTTAACAGCAGCAGAAATTGGAAAAATTTGCAATTGATGAATATATTGTACACATTAGACAACAAGATGAAACTTTTAATGAGATGACATATGTCAAAAGAAGAGTCTGTCCTCACCAGAGCACTGAAACTAACTTATGTTTACATTTTCTGATAATTAGGGGGATGTTTATTAACCTGTCACAAGTTGCAGTCAGGTGCGCAATTTTTCAATTTAGCGGCGTATTTACCAACACTAAAAATGTAAATGAGCACAGCCACAGTTGGGTTCATTTGAATGCATGGCTGCTTAAAAAAGAGACGTTTCCTGTAGTGTGCATGTGTGGACCGAGAGGGAGCGTAAAACAAGTGTAAGTTTACAGCAACTAAACTTTAATATAGTTGAAGAAATCAACAAATGCATTTCAGAACTCTATTCACATAGTCTCCTGCCAGTCAATTCATCTTTGATTTTGTTCAGAAACTGAAGCATGGTTTGACTTGAAAGCCTGTAAATGTTCCTCACATTGTCCTCTAGTGAGTGATGGGATTTACAAACACCCTCTCCTTCATCAAACATGTTCTTAGTTCTGACAAGGTCTCAGATGACTGACAGCTGCCATGCTGACAGCAGAGTCGCAGATTTTACACCTGCTTTCTCCTGATGTTAACTTTCAGCCGTGTGTTCATTCTGTCACAGTGTGGGTAAATCGGGTGCTGAGGATATTAGTATAACTTTTCATTCTCTCCTCCCTGATTTTGCATTTTAAAATGCATATGCAAATTCCAGCAGTTCCACTTTTCTTCCTTTTTCTCTGGTGCAAAACCACACTACAACATCTTAGTAAATATTAACACATGTAATTTCACTGTTTAGCGCCAAAAATTGAGCTGCAAAACCTTAGTAAAAATCCCTTCTAATTTTGTGGTTGATGCATAATGGCCCCCACTTTCTCATAAGGAAAGGCAGAAGTAGTGTGGTGTATTATTTGTGTAAAAAAATAACCTCCAAGTAAACAGGCGGGCAGGTGCTTTTGCATACAAAGTGGTGGATTCAAACATCAGATTCGCAGCCAGTTATTTTACCAATAACTAATACTGTACTGATTTTTCTTAATCTTGGCCAACATCTTTGCTGAAAGTAGCTTTAATCATCTAAATTTATTCAAATCTAAATGGTAAATTACTGCTTTTTTTAATGCAGGTTTTATTTTTGTTTTACATCATTTCTATCTGTCATAATACTGGGGCACTACCTAATGTGGGGCAAAAGATAACACAGAATTTTCATGTTGTTACACAAGGTCAAGCAGTGAGTGCTTCCAGTGACATTATTATATTTGGTAGACATGGTCTCCTGCAAAAATTCATAAAGATCTGTCTGCATTTTGAGGGCTAGGGTTAAAGTTATGAGGAAATATGTGCCAAGGACTGTGTTCAGAGCACAAAAGTATTTTTTTTTATCACAGGTATTTTGGGGTTTGTGAGGTGTATGTGTAACTGACAAAATCCAACCTTATATAACTTTAATCACCATCTTGTTGCCTACAACCTTTCACCATTTTCAAATACAGTATCTGACGAGCTCACAGCAAGTGCTAGCTAGGCTCAAGTATAGCCTCCGTGGTGCGGGGCTGGTTGTAACGCTGCATTACAACCAACCCTGCTTATGTAAACAATGACAAGAAGCTATTTTTTTGGAAATTATCCATATTTTGCTGACCTGTGATATTATTTTTATTTGCTGTCCTACGTTGTAATAAATTTTTCAGTGTTTGACACACAGTCCCATTTCACATTCATATAAACTGCTCAACAAAATTTGGGGAGCACTTGATCATCACAGTGTAACACCAAATTAGTTAAACTTCAGCGATATAAATCTGTCCATTTAGGAAGCACAAGTGACTGTGAATCAGTTTCACCTGCTTTGGTGTAAATGAAAGTGACAGCAGGTGCAATGGAGAGGCAAAAGCAAGACAACCCCCACACAGGGAATGGGTGGCGACAGACAAATGCTCTCTTCTGATCCTTTCTGACTAATTCTTCTCAGGTTTTGTGTTGTGCTAGTGTCCATGTCACTACTGGTAGCATGAGGCAGTACCTGCAGCCCAGTCAGGCTGCACAGGTAGTCCAGTCACTCCAAGATGGCACATCCATATGTGCAGTCACAAGAAGGTTTGCTGTGTCTCCCAGCATAGTCTCAAGAACATGAAGGAGATACCAGGAGACTGTTACACCAGGAGAGCTGGACAGGGCCATAGCAGGGCAACAACACAGCAGCAGGACCAATATCTGCTCCTCTGTGCAAGAAGGAAAAGGAGGAACAATGCGACCTCCAGCAGCTACTGGTGTGCATGTTTCTGACCCAACTGCCAGAAACAGACTCCCTGAGGGTGACATGAGGGCCCGATGTCCTCTAGTACAACCTGTGCTCACAGCCCAGCACCATGCAGCTCGACTGGCATTCATCAGAGAACACCAGAATTGGCAGGTCCACCACTGGCGCCACCTTCTCTTCACAGATGAGAGCAGGTTCACAGTGAGCACATGCAACAGACATGAAAGAGTCTGGAGATGCCAAAGTGAATGTTATGCTGCCTGTAACATTATGGAGCATGACCAGTTTGGTGGTGGGTCAGTGAAGGTCTGGGGAGACGTATCCTTGGAGGGCCGCACAGAGCTCCATGTCATAGCCAACGGTACCCTGACTGCTGTGAGGTACTGGGATGAAATTAGACCTTAATACTGGTGCAGTGGGCCCTGGGTTCCTCCTGGTGCAGGACAATGCCCGGCCTCATGTGGCCAGGGTGTGTAGGCAGTTCCTGGATGACAAAGGTAATGATGCCATTGACTGAGTATAAAAGGACAGCTCTTGTCAAACTGTGGTGTCAAGCCAAGATTTATTGTTTTTAGACCATGCCTACTTTTGACACCTTGCCTCTGTCTACATCAAAGCCTGTCAACTTTTAGGATGTATTTTTACATACTTCCGACAATTTTGCATAACCACAGTAGAATTTCACAATGTCTAATTTGACATGTAAATGAGTACCTATGAATTGATTAGTCTA